ATATATATATATATATATATATATATATATATATATATATATTTATATATATGCCCATGCCTTGCCGATCTCCCATGTGAGAGGTGGGTGGCATTCATCTCTCTCCTGGAGAGCTACTATTATCAGTTTCTAGGATCCTTGGAATTCAGATTTCCTACCGTGCTTCTCTTGATCATAGTCACTAATTTAGGAGTATCACGACTTAGGCCCTACGTGGTTTTGCCAATACACAGTAATAGAGGATTGAGGGACTGGACATTCCCCAGTCTCCCAATCCTCAACTCATCAAACTCTCTCTCTCTCTCTCTCTCTCTCTCACACACACACACACAAAAAAATGCTTCCCCCTTTACCTGTCCATCCCGGATTTGCGAATGTGTCGAGGTTTATTTTGTGAGAGAGAGATGCACCCATTGCAATTCCTCTCTTAGTGCAGAACCAAAATATTAGCCTGTGCAAGCTTGTTGCTTCAATTAAGAATAGGGACAGTCAGACAAGAACCCATGATGACTTTATCTTTAAACTCTGAAACGATGGTGCCTCCTTGTACCAGTCCATAAGAGGTTAGTCTACCAATTAGATCCATTTTGAGGTTTTCCTATATTTTGATACCATGAAAAGCTTCTATTTGAACAGAGAAGATGGTCCTTGCCATACAAGGTTACCTGTAAGAGTAAGATGAATTGGGGGGCATGCCATAATCCAACTCATGATCATGTGTATTTCAATGGGCTTTTTTATTTCCGGATGCTAGTTATCCCGCATCATCAGGATCTATGTGTCTATATAGATTCTTGTTCATCCCATATCTCAAAGCAGATGGAGCTTAACATACAATAGTTGTGGTCCCTTGACACATCGTTGTCTTAGGGGATAATAAGATCATTATGACATGCTATGTGTGTGTGTGTATATAAGATTTGATTGCAATACCCCAAGTCCACTAATTTATGGTGGTAGACGCATGCTTTTAGTGATATCTACCGAATGAATTTATTTCTTCCAGATTGATTGTGTTTCTTGAAGAAACAGCGGACTGTCAGACTCCTCAAGCATGACTCCTATGTTGCATTCTCTGTTGACATGCCACATTTTCTCATGGTCAATTAATTAAAACAATTAAATTTTCTTTGCTTAACGACTCCATTGTATCATTAAAAATTTAAAAGGATCAACTGAGTCTAATTTCTTTACTGGGTAACATACTTTAGCTAAATTATTGTTATGATTTTCTTCTTTATATTTTTGCTTCAGGTGGATCAGATAATTGCAGCAGATGAATGCCTTCTGTCCATACTTGTGGCATTGGCCAGGCATTCCCCAACTTGCGCAAATGCTATAGTGAAATGCCCCAGACTACTTGAAACCATTGTTAATAGATTCATTAAGAAAAGCACTATGGATATTAGTCATGCTGATCTAAAATCTGTATGCCTTCTGAGGGTAAGTAAGACTGTCTCCTATCTCCTCTCTTTTAGACTTCGTTTTATATGATAGGTTTGTTGTAGAATCATCGTTTTTTTCTTTTCTTTTCTGGGTGACTCAGTGGGGATGAGTTGTAGAATCATCTTCTAATGAGAGTAATTAGGGTTCTGAGAAATTAGGTTCTGTTTAGTAATATGAGCAGTAGTTATGGGAAAATCAGGGCTTTGATTGATTTGAAGGAAGGGGGTTGCACCATCTAGTTGAGGGACACAGAGGTTTATCACTGGGCCTTGTTATGTTTCTGTAAGTATTGTGCTCCTTGATCCTGATTTGTACTCTTTTTTGTGTTGTTTTTCTTTAATTAATCACTGTTCTTCTATAATTAGTGGATTTTAAACTATCAAAAGAAAAGAAATGATTGCTTAAGCACAATGTATATTTCTTGCGACATTGTTATCTTGGGAACTACACCCAACATGAAAATGTGTACTCTGATTTTATTCAAGGATGGTCTTTGAGGCAAACTCAAAAATGTATATGCATCTGGTCTCTACTCGAGCATTTTTTGGGCTCCATAAGGGGTTTTTGTACACGTCACTGGGAATGTTGGTGGATCAACCTCTTGTATATCTTTTCTCTTAATACAACAGTTAACACTTTCCAAAATAAATAAATAAGTAAAATAAAAAAATCTCCTCAAGCAAGGTTTATATGTCTATGCGAGAATAGCAAGTTTCCCATGCTTAGCTCATATTAAGCTAGAGAGAATCATACTGTTGTATACTATGTTTGCAGTATGTGTTGTCTAGTTGAGAAGTTATGAGGTATTTGGTGGTTCATGGGCTATCTAACTATCATGAACTGATTATAGCATGTGCCATTTATGTTAATTTAATTAAAAGATGGAACAGTTATGACTTGGTGAATACGTCACTAAGTTTGCTTTTTTATACTTTCATAATGATATTATTGCATTTGCCAGTTTATGTTTCTATACTTCCATAATGTTGTTATTGCGTTTTCCACTTACTCTAATTATTGATTTCTTGATTTTCTGGTCCTCAACATTTTGTTTTTTTGCAGGTATTGGCTCAATCTGACAGGAATAATTGTGTATATCTTATCGAACATGGGATTTTCCAGAATGCTTTGAGGCACCTGTATATGCATTCTTTTTCTCTAGAACGCTGGTTAACTACTGATCGGGAGCAGTGTAAAATGATTTCTACTATGCTGGTTGGGCAGCTTTCTCTATGGGAGGTCTGCATAAATTATGGGTATTGCTTAACTTCTTTCTCAGACTTCTTTCCTGCAATGAGCTTTTGGTTGAGCCCTCTGACACTTGACAGAATTATGAAAGCCGATCTCTTTGTTGAATTTTCATCCGTCACAAGGCAAGCGTACCTTGTTCTTGGGGCCCTCTCTGCAAGACTACCCAATTTTTATTCAGTTGAACAAGCTCAAGATCAAATTGGAGATGATTTGGGTAATTGGTCTTGGAATCATGTGTTTCCAATGGTTGACACAGCGTTGAAGTGGGTCTCTTTGAAGACTGACATCTGCATCTCTTCAGTTCTCAATAGGCATGTTACCAGTGCTGGGTTTGTTATTCAAAATTCTTACAGAAGTAGCTTGATTTGGGTCATTTCAGCTGTACTGCGCATGCTTTCAAGGGTCTTCGAAAAGATAGCACCCCAAGAAGGTGTTACCTATATCAAGAAGAATAATATTCATATCTCCAGGCTAACGGAACTTGTGTTTCATGTTGGCCTTCTCATCTTTGAAAATGGAATCCTGAATGCTTCAGAGGTTGATAAGGCAGGCTTGGCTATTAGGGGGCATTCTTTTGTGCAGACTTTGTGTTCTTTAAGAAATGATAGTGATTATGAGACATCGTTATCGTCTGGATGCTGTCTTCATGAATTACTCCAGACTATAATTTTGGTGGATAAAATAATGTGGAGTGTGAAAGCTGAGAACAAAAAACTTGGCTCAATTGATGGTATTGGGAAAGAGGTTGTAGAACTGCTAGATGGGCTAACTAAATGGTCCCAAAACGAACTGAAACCTGTACTACTTATGTTTATGGAACACATTGCTTCTGAATGGTATATTCATGACTCATTTGAGATGTTTGGTAGAGGTGGTCCTGCCCCAGGTGTTGGGTTAGGTTGGGGTGCTCCGAAAGGTGGGTTTTGGTCAAGAACTGCCATTCTGTGTCAGGTAGATGCACGAGTTATTACTTGTTTGCTTCAAGTCCTTCCCATAGAAGTTCAAGAAATTGATAAACTAAGCCATCAAGATGATGAATTTCTAGTTTCCGTGGCTATTCCTTTGCAAAAGCTCAATGCTGTTTTTGGGATATGCTTGGTTTTAGGACCAAGAGATTCATTAATGTTTGAAAGTATCTTGTCCTGTGTATTGCTCAGAGTTCCTTTTATGAAATACCTTGGTTTATGTGTTCATCACTTTCTTCGTAAGAACAAGGGAATGGAGTACTTTTGCTGGGTATACAAGGAAGATGACTACCAAAAATTCAGTGAGGTTTTGAACACCCACTTCAGAAACAGGTGGTTAAGTAGAAAGACAAAATCGCTGGATAAAGCACACAATGCAGTGGACAACAAAAGCAACCCTAGACAAAACCAAACTAAAGTTGGTAATTTGGATACAATTTATGAAGAAACTGTTGATGCCCCGAGTAGTTCAGCTGGAAATATGCAGTACATCACATTGCAAATAGAGTGGGCAAACCAGAGATTGCCACTTCCTGTGCATTGGTTCCTGAGTCCTTTGGCAACTGTTGATGCCACTGAGAGTATAGATGTCGCCAGGAGTGGGCTTTTCTTTCTGTTGGGTCTTGAAACTATGTCTTCATTATGCTCTGAAAATCCAAGTTCACCAATTTTACAAGTACCTTTGGTTTGGAAATTACATGCACTGTCAATGGTTTTCCTCAAAAGAAATGACATTCTTGAAGAGAAGCAAACCAGAGATACTTTCAAAACTTTACAGGACATATATGGGCAACGTCTGGACAAACTGAGACAAAGAAGACCTGTAGTCGTTCTTGAAAATGAAAAATCCTCTGGTGTATATGGCAGAGAAATTCTTTACTTCATAAAAGAGGTGCATGAAAGTTATGGCTCATTTATTGAGATCCTCATTGAGCAATTCAGTGCTGTATCCTATGGTGATGTACTCTTTGGCCGGCAATTAGGTGTATATCTCCACCGTACAGTAGAAGTGCCAGTCAGACTTCTTGCATGGAAAGCACTATCCAATGCCCATATTTTGGAACTTTTGCCACCTATAAATGATTGCATTGGCGAGATTGAAGGATATCTGATCCCTTTTGAGGTACTGGATTGGACTTCTGTTTGCTTCCATGCCCCGACTTTACTTAATACTGTCATCCTTTGACAAAAAGTTACTCAATATGTTGACTGATATTCTTGTTAATGGCTGCTTGTGCATGAACTAAGCTATCCCAAATGCACTTAGCTTATTGTGCACTGATTCTTTCTTTAGTATGTAGTTTTTATGACTGGCAGTTCTCCTGGTATACCATAGAGGTTACTTCTTACTTAGATATCCATTCCTCATAGAAATTTGTTAAATAGAGTTTGAATGGATCTGCATTCTTTCATGGTATTTATCTCAGCTCAGGCAATGAATAATCTTGCAGTGTCATACATGAGTCATGGAGCATATAGAACATGCCATTTAGTTGTGATACTAATGCCTAAGAGGGTTGGATGACTTGTATAACATGCTACAATTGCTTTTGTTAAGCCACGATGTATTATGAAAATGTTTGATTTTTGTAGCCTGAGATATTTCTAATGTATTGAATAGCTTCTGCGCTGTTTGCTTTTGATTCCACAGATTGGAAACAAATGAATACTGCTCTTTTCACTTTCTCATTTCTGTTTCCAAATATGTATGTATTAATACAAACAAAGGATTCTATGAATAATTGCTCTAAGTATCTAGTTTGGCAGAAATCATTTCCTTCAGAATATGGGCACGTGTGAATGCCTCGGTACTTTTTGCACCAATGTTTTTGCTATCTGCTCCTATGCACACCGGTGGAAATTTTAGCCATTTTATTTTTGTGATCCCTGCTTATAATTTCATGAAAATAACAATGACACGGTGCAAATAGAGATTCCATTTGCATGTGCTTTGTAGTATGCTTTTTTCCTCTCGTTCCCAGTTCATTTTATCAGAAACATCCTAATGCATGTCTGTAAATGAAGACTTGCATTAGGTTGCATCCATGTAAGATGCATTTTCTTGCATCCAAAGCCTCACTGCAGTCTATATTTTCTTGTGCATGAAAATTGAGCATTCTGCGCTACTAGTTATCATACGAAAAGAAAGAAATGAATATAGGGGGAGGGCAGAAGGGAGGAGCTTTATCAAGCCCTTGTTCATCTAAGATTTGATACTAGCAAGATGTTTAGAAAGATTGACACACATTCCTTATCTTTGGTAATGCATTTCAGGATAATGAAGAGATACTCGAAGCATACTTGAAGTCTTGGGTCTCTGGAGATCTTGACAGAGCAGCGACTCGAGGGTCTCTTAGTTTCACAGTAACATTGCACCACCTCTCATCCTTCCTGTTCTTCAGTGAAGTAGGTGGTGAAAAACTGTTCTTGAAGAAAAGGCTTGCAAAGTCTCTTCTTCGTGACTTCTCCCGAAAAACTCAGCATCAGGTACATTGAATAACAACCCATTTATATGGTAATTAGATTGTTGGTTCCAAGGTTTCTTCCTTTTTTTTTGGTTAGATTGATGGTTTTTTATTTGCTTTCTATTGTGAGTTACAGGGAATGCTACTGAAATTGATTCGATATGAACCGCTCATGTCTAGAGATGGATTTGGGGTAGAAGATATTGCTTTGGATGCCCAAGAGGTTACGAGGAGATTAGAATTCATATGTGAAGCTTGTGACGGGAGTTCGTCTCTGTTAGCTGAGGTTGACAAGCTGAAATCAGCCCTCTTGTAACCTAACAACAGTTTTGGAGAGAGAAACAGCATTTGAAGCATTTGTTTAAGTCTAACAAGGCCTTTAATCTGATAGGTTTTGGTCATGCATGATGAAGGAAGCAAAGGCATCAGTGCAAATTAAATTTTTTTTTTTGGGTAAGTAAATGCCCAATTTTTTTTAATATTTTCTAAGTGGTAGAGGGCCCAAAAGTTAAGTTTGTGTAAATTGAATTTTGATGTATGTAAAGAGAAACTCAGGACCATGATCAAAGACAGCATTTGGGCAAATATTGCAGGCAATTTATTTGTCTATAAATCTTTTTAGCTGCACTCTGATGCTCATTTGTACATATGTACATATTTTTCAGAGAAACGTGCTCAGAGAAAAGTGCCTTTACGATTGGCCCCTCGAAAGGGGAAATGGAATCATACTTAAATTGAAATAAGGGCCTGTTGGGGTACCTGAAAATATATTTTCAGAAATATTTTTTCATGTAGATGGCATATTTCCGGCGTGAGGATTGAAATTTATGGGGAACAGTATTTTTTTCAGAAATTATTTTTCTCATTTCAAATGCAAATAAAGAAATTTATATCCTTGTCTTTATCCTAAGAGAGTGGCCCACTTTATAAATTTCAATTAATCCCACCAAAACACCCCCACACAATAGAAAAAGTATATTTTCAGTTTTAGATAATCTTAAAATTTTATAAAAAAAAATAGTATCTTAAAATTTTAGAGAAATTATATAAAATATTGGAGAGAAAGTACCTAAATATTTTTAGAGAGAAATCATCTCAAAATTTAAAGACAAACTATCTCAAATTTTAGACTTCAAAAGAAAGGCACTTAATTTTTAGAAAAATTTTATCATAATTTTTGGAGAGATTCTCAAAATTTTTGCAAGAGAAGATATCTCTCAAATTTTTAAGTTTTAGAGAGAAATTATATAAAATATTTTTAAACAAATTATCTCAAAAATTTTAGACAGAAACCATCTCAAATTCTAAGATCTAGAGGGTACAAAAAAAAAAAAAAAAGAAAAAAAAAAGGGAACACCATCCAAACAGCAGAAATCTATTTTATAAGAAATATTTTTATCAAGAAATATATTGAAAAGAAATAGATTTTTTGGACTTCCAACGATCCAAATAGCCCAATGTGAATTACAAGTCTCAATTTTAAATCGATCACATTTTTTGGTTTCTAAGCTTTCGCTATTTAATATTTGATTGGAAGGCATGAAGCATCAGTTTTCAAACTTTGATAGGAAGATAAAAGCAAGCGTCCAAGTTTGTTAAACCTGGAGAATATGGCCTTTTCTTTTTTGGTTGGTTAAGAGCGGGTGGAACCGGAACCATTGATGTTACACCATGCTCTCAAAGTTCTATTCACCAAGCTGAGCCACGATCAACAGAGAGCACCACCAAAAGGCCCCATTGCTTATATGTATTCGAACTCTTCTGAAGTTATACCTATGTTTGGGTGGACTCACATCAGTTTTATCTTCAAGATTGATGTAGGGTAACTTCAATCAGGGTGCAGTTTGCATACGGATGCATCCGTAAGTGCAGAGGTAAGATGCATCTTCAAATTTTGTCATGGTATATAATTTTGATGTAAAATATTCTTAAGATTATCTTAAGAGTAATGATCCTATAGGACCCTCCTCCACTCATATGTGTAAGACCCCAAAGGATCACCATTAAAACTGACACGAATTTCTAAAAAAGTTATCACATGGGTGTAGGAGTTGACTTTTCTATAGATCCTACACACATGGGTAGGAGAAAGTCCTATAGGATCATTTCTCTTATCTCCTCAAAATTTAATTTTATATCTAATTATAAAATTTTAAATTTAAAAAATAGCTAAAATCAAGTAGTTTCATAAACATATGAAAATCTTGAAAATAGACGGTGCAGATAATATGTTGTAAAATGCACTATTTCTGAGACTTGAAATCTTTTTATTTTTCATAGTCATACATCTCGATGTCGAGATGATGAATCAAAGGGTTTTCAACATTAAAACTACCTTTTCCAATGGATTTTTGAAAGGCATCCGTAGTTCTACATTATAAAGAAGCATCCTTATATAAACTTTCTCCATTCAAAAAACAATAAAAATCAACAAGAACAAAAAACGTAACACAAGCACAAAAAAACCTAAGATTTATTCTCCATAACCAAACTAAAGTTGCAAAGCCCAATATTTCCTTTCTCTTTCAATTTCTAGAAGTCATGAGTCATGTGGGCTTGATTTCTCTTTCAATTTCTAGAAGTCATGAGTCATGTGGGCTTGAAAAGGGCTTGACCTCTTCAAGTGCCCAAACAAATAATATATTTACTCTTATATCCTAACTTAAACTTAAATTTTATAATGATAATTTTATCTCTATAAACAATAGTCATGAATAGTACCTATAAAGAGCAATTAAGAATGGTAACCATGAATAAAAAATAAAACAAAACACAAAACATCCTAAAATTCCTAAAATGCTAAAACCCCCTAAAAATAAACCTTAAAATTAAAACCATAAAAGAAAAGTTTATAAAAGTTGCAACCTTAAAATGTAGAATCCCATAGACACCTCAAAAATCTATTGGAAATGTTGTTTTAATGTTGAAAAACCTTCTAATCGATCATCTCGACATTGAGATGTATGAATATGAAAAAAATTAAAAATAAAAAATTCGAATCCCAAAAATAGTGCATCTAACGCAACAATACCTAAACCGTCCATTTTCAAGATTTTCATATATTTATAGATCTACTTGACGTTAACCATTTTTTAAATTTAAAATTTTCTAATTAGGTATGAAAATAGATTTTAACATAATACTAAGAATTTTTTATAACACAATGATAAAATTTTAAGGTGCACATTGATTGGATTGTTTAAGGTTGGATCCTTATAGAAATAGCACCCAAACTATAATGCATTCTTAAAAATTGAATAAAATTAAAAATAAAAATAATTTTATCATCTCCAACTAATTATATCTACTTTATGCTTGTGCAGGAGCATACTATCCATTTACTCCCTTGGGTCAAAAAGCCAATGAAAAAAGCTACCTAAATGTGAAATTTTGGGATCCACTATGAAACCACTAGAAGATCTTTTTGAGCAGAATGATCAAATTTTGTGTTCTTTAACCCTAACCTGGCTGTCCTAAAGACATCCTTACAATCTAGGGTCTTAAAAATCACCTAGGGTCCTTACAGTCAGCTCTGGAACGACCAGCTAATCATTTTTGTTCAACCAATACCTTGGATCCTGATTCAAACCATGTCCATGTAACTGTAAATCCAGCAAAAAGAAATGAAAACAAGTATACCTACAAAGACGCTGGACTTAAAAGAAATAAAAAAGGAACGATGCAAAGACACCAAGGCCAGGCCGCACATCTTTGGTTCAAAATTTAATTTCTTGTCCATTTTTATCAACATCTTCATAATACAAGATATGTGTATGGACTATGGACAAAAAACCAAACCCCTTCCCCCCCAAATACTCCCAGTTAGTAGTAAACGAAATAAGTGGTCAATATAGAATCACCAGTGCTCCCCCAATAAACGAGGGGCAAAGAGGATCATTGCCAAAATACTAGTGTCTATGAATATCACTTCATTAGACATAATTCCAGAGAAAGCGAGAGAGAGAGAGGATATCTTCTTTTTCCTAATCTGAACAGAGAGAGGATATCTTCTTTTTCCTAATCATGGGTCAGACCCCATTCACCGGTCACGACATTGCCAGAACCCAACTCCATAATAGGCCTGAGAGAGAGATAGAGACGAAGAGAGAGAGTAAGAATTACTAAATCATGGGGGTCTAATCCCCCCACGCACTGGTCATGGCATGTCCAGGACCGACAACGCCGTAGCCAGGAGAAGCATAATAACCCCCCAGGTTGGGGCCACCACCATATGATGAATGAGGAGTGTATGATGAGTGAGAATAGTAGTCATTACCCCTCCGAAAATCACGACCTCCAAACCGACCACCGGGCTTGCGGTTTCTCCCTCCTCCATAACCCATTGATCTCGAATTGGCATAGTGAGAGAGCCAAGAGGGCACTTCTTGGTTGGCCTCTTGCATGAGATCAGCCAATGCCCTTGCTAAAGGGCTGTTTGCTTCGTTAAAGAAAGCAGTTGCTAACCCTGACTTACCTGCACGACCTGTACGCCCTATGCGATGAACATAGTCATCGATGTCTTTAGGGAGGTCAAAATTCACGACGTGAGCAACATGAGGTATGTCGAGACCACGAGCAGCAACATCAGTGGCGACCAAGATAGGGGTGGCACCACTCTTGAAGGATCTGAGTGCTTGCTCCCTCTCCTACAAAACAAACCTTGTGTTTTACAAATCAAGTTGAATGTGGATTTATTTTTCAAAAAAAAAAAAGGTTGAACGAGGCTTTTGATGCTCAATTTAAAACCACACATGAACATGAAAAGCATCATTCCCGATTTTGATCACAGGATTGGCTTCAACCAACCATGACATTGAATTATTTATTCATGAACTGCAAGTATATCAGTTTGAAGATGGTTAGTTTTCAACACTATACATATAAGATCCAACAGGTATCCGTATACCTGTCTCTCTACTACATAGATGATGTCATAAAAAAGTTGAAAGGAAAAAAAATGGTCATGGCTAAAATGACAAGAAAAAAACCATAGCTATCTTCACCAGATACAGAGAAGCGCATCTATCATGCAACCCCCAATGTGCCTTGAATCCATTTGTCTACTAGAAGACATGAGATGCTGTGGATCTGCTAGTATATTTTTATATTCTGAAAAAAAGAACTGAAACAACAGGACCTTGGCTGTAAATGCAGTTTACAAGAAGATCAAAATTAATGGAAAATGACTTCTGATAGGTTCTGCTAAATATATTCTAGCATTCCGACCAGTTCTTTAAGCATGTGGACCCATTAAGAACTAGTTTTGGTCAAGCCAGGTGACCAAGGTAACAAGACAATACCAAACTATTATAAAATGGTCACTTGAGCACCAAACTGAGTCATTTTATTTGAAGAAGCACCAAACTGAGTCATCACTATTGAAGACTCTCAAGACACGGACTGGAGGCCAAGACAGGGTTGGTTATGGCCATAGGCTGCTCAAATAGCAACCAATGCAGCAATGCCTTGGCAGATGAAAGAAGCATGTTAGAAAGAAGGTGAAAAGCAGGAAAAAGGACCATAACACACACTACAGGGCTGTTTCTCATTGTGCCAAACATGTTTTGACATTATAAACCTCATTAAGAATGAAATAAAAGAAAAGGTTCAGTCACTTATGAAAATGAGCAGAGAACGTTAGGCATGCACAGTTCCAAGTCCACAACGTACCATGTTGGGATTTGCGGGTTACAGTACATACACAGATAATAGCTCAATGGAATCATGCAGGGAGGTGAGACATAGGAGTTTCATAGAAGCCAAATAGGCCATTGCTTTGAAATGCATAAGAGGTTTATGCAAAGTTACTTCTACAAAGAAGATTTTGAGTTGAAAAACTCTTAAAATTATGAAGAGCTGCAGGCAGGTTGTCATTGAATATTGCGAAGTAGGGCAAACGGGTAAAGAAGACTTCTTGGAGAACAAAATTAATATGGTTCAATTAAATTCAGAGCGATCAATCATGCCAAGACAAAATTTGCTCAATTTTCAGGGACCCTCTCTTCTAAGAATCACATCAGGTCTAATCCATTTTATTTGTGGGAGCAGTTAACATGAGGCAGCAGCTTTATGATAAAAAGTAAGCCGCACCCTGAAACCCTACCAGAATGCAATTCTGGTGCCGGAAGCCCATTGATGTCCTAAAAATCTATTTCTTCCCATGAAATTTGAAATTCTAAAAGTGGCACAGATCTGGCAAATCTGAGAACACTTAAAAGGATGAGCCATATAACATGCCACAAGATACACTACCTTTAGGACTTAAAAATCCATTACTTCCATATCCATAATTGTCGAGGTTGAGACTGAAATTTAGGGTTTTTTGGGAGTAGGAACATCCTTCTCTCGTGAGATTTGAGCTTCTGTTTTAAAAAGCCTTAGTCCTATGTAAACTTTTCCTTCATTTATAAAGACAAAAGCAACAGTGATTTCCATATATCTGTGTTGAACTATGAATATTGCCCTGAACATCGAGCCACAACAACATATTTTTTTTTAGAATGTTAACTTAAATCTGCAAAGACATTGATAGCATACCAAAGTCAATTTAACATGGTATATGATTATTGTGGCTATATATGATGACAGAATAAATCGTGCACCAAGTCTCAATACAAAAATTGAATATTGAAAAATATTAAACAAGCACAAAGTATAACGGATAAGCATGAAAGTAAATTACAATGCACAATAAATCAGACAGTCATACATCCACTCCCAAGATGAACAACTTCTGGAAATAAACCACATGGTTCTCCCTAGAAGTCAGAGTAATTGCCTATCAAACAAATAGATGAGTAAAATCACAAGTTTGAATTCTATCCTTGGGGAGGTTGCAACTTGTAATACATGAAAATAAATTAATAACTTTAAGAAGCCTAAGTGCAGGTATTCATATTCAAAATCAGCAAATAAAAAAAAAATGGACTAATAATCACAACAAACCAGTAAACAAGATAGAGGAACAGTTAAAGATAGAAAATAAAACAATGGACAGGGAAAAGAACAAGCAGATAGAAACACACATATTGCGATCTGTCACCATGGATAGCCGTCGCAGATAACCCTTTTGTACATAACCAGTGCTCCAGTGAATCTGCTCCTCTCTTTGTCTCAACAAATACCAAAGTTAAGGCTTGCTGCAGTAGCATCCACAAAGAAGACATTAGTTGCATTAAATTAACAAGGGGTGCCACCCATCCAATATACACAATATAAACACATGATGCCATATCTCTGAAAACAGCTTAGGGTAGAGCTCATTGATACCTTTCCTTGTGCTCCATTTGATACTTGGGCGTGAAGAAGATCCATCAAGTGGCTTCTCTTATCCATTTCTTGAACAAATTCAACCCTTTGGACTATCAAGTCAGTGCTGGAACCAACCCTTCCAACAGCTAGAAAGATGTAATTCGAAAGAAAATCCGCAGCCAATCTCTAGAGAAAAACAATTAATCACACAAAGGAAAAACATGTGTAATTGTAAATTAAGTGAAGAAAGGGTCATATTTAAGCAACTAAGCAATAAGGCAAGAGCATTATGAGGAAGTACAATATGATCCGCTACCATTAATAACCATGTACTAATCAAATTATCAAGTGGTCAGGTACATGTTCTTCAGTGGTTTTAAGGCAAAGAGGGTAATAACATATACAAGATCACAATACAATAATATCATTTCATCTTCAAACTGTCCGTAGCTGCCAAAGGATTTAAACTGACTTCAAGGCATGCTCCAATCATATCAGTATCTATATACAATAAAATGACTAATTATATTTCAACAGAGCTCAAAGAAACAGACCTGTATCTCCCTAGGAAAAGTGGCACTGAAAAGTACTGTCTGCCTCATACCAGGAGGGGGCATGTCCATCTGATTGACTATCTTCCTAATCTGAGGCTCAAAACCCATATCCAGCATTCTATCCGCCTCATCCAAAGCCAAATATTTAACCATTTGCAATGAAAGCCTAGCTCTTTCAAGCAAATCCACCAAACGTCCCGGTGTTGCAACTAAGATGTCAACACCCTTTTCCAGCTCCCGCAACTGTAGAAAACACGTCCTAGTTAAGCATGCAACAATTGAACAAAAATTATAATGAACTAAATAGGTTTATCTGGACAATGCATAACTTAATAGAAAAACATGACACATCCTAACCAATAAAAAATAATAAGGTCACGCATCACCACGAATGAAGCTATCTAGAAGTTTGATCAGTTTCCTTATTTATTTTCCATTTGCCTTCTAAGTTTTATAAATCAGAAACAAATATTCCCTACCCCCCAGGCAGATAGGGGCAGAAAGTGATGATCTTAAATAACATAGTGAATGTTCACAACAACAGAATTTGACTTGGGTCTTATCTTCCCTCGCTTCCAATATGAAAACAAATAAACAAAATAAAAAGAGAAAGATGAAAAGAAAAGAAGCAGATAAGAAAGTTTCACACAAGAAAAGGAATACAGAATTGCAACCTTCGCTGACAAAGCTGTAAGCATCATACAGCCAATTGGCTTCAGCCCTTGGATCATTCATGAACCTAGTTTTATATGAACTTCAAGTATCAACAGAAGCAATTGCTAATTACGATATAAATACTTCATCCACCCATGTTAAATTGATGACGTGATACTTGCATGTATATTGATACAAAATCTCCACATCATGGACCCCTAAGCGTCTATCAAAGAATCCTGTGGGATACAACACTAATTTCCACTTACATATCCAAATATGCCCCTTAGAACTTTACAAGGATTATATGGGATTATCTACAAAGAGACCATTTATCTTTTGTACATGGAGGTCACAATCATTTTTGTCCCTTAAATTAAAAAATGGGTGGTTGTAAAGTGCCATTGAATAGATTGATACAAAGTTCCAAAAAAATATTTCTCGGACTTCGTGACTCACCCCAGGCCATCCAATTTGATATCTAATGAGTGGGATTGATTGTGAGCTCCATGTACAAAAAAATAAATCATCTCTATGTAGACAATCCCTTATTGGACGTCACATCCTAATTCTAAGCTTCGAAATCTACATCACAATATCATGTTATTTTGCTTCTTCTGTATTATCTAGGAGATGTCCAAGAGGCAAATCTTACAGGCAACCTCCCTGAAAAGGAGGGAGCCCACCTGTAAGAAGGCCTTGCTCCAAAAAGATCTATAGAATACCATCTCCCACTTATGGGGAGAAAAAAAGGAAAGTCTTAGCCAGCATGGCAAGTAAAGTTTGGTCCACAGTCTCCTCATCTTCCATGTACATAACACAAAAGTTTGGGAACTGAAATCCTCAGTTGCGATCCCTGTCCAAAAGATACCCAACCTCAACTTCTGTGGCAGCTCGTTGGAGAATCATGGGAAATTGATCACCATGGCACGTTTTTTTGCCTAATTAATTCCATGACTCTGCATTACAAGAGGCTAAAACTATGCCTTAAGGTGTACCTACAGCTTGTACACCTAGTGGCAGAATGCGATTTGCTTGATGTCATTACATGGGATAGACAAGAGAGGTCAGCAAAACATTAGTTACAAGTTTGATATATAACTTTTATTTTCCCTGATAGAAATGTTACATGAGATCCTTATAATTTAAAACATTTCAAAATCTCAATGTTTCAGATGAAACTAGAACATTCATGCTATTAGAGAAATGAACTCCAAATTGAAGTCCACTGCTTAATTGGACAAAGCTCCATCTGAGGGGACGCTCTTCCATTGCTTAAACCCCATATTTTGGGTGGCAACAGCTATAACTTGATCGCAAGATGGACACTTTTTTAATCTCTCTTAATGAATTTTTCAGAAAACAGCAGAAGAAAAGACCAAAAACAAAAAAGGAACTCTGCCCAATCAAAAGCTTTGAGATGATCCTCTATGTAAGAATACACTTTTCAAGCCAACCAGCGAAGCCCATGATGCCAATATGATAAGCAAACTTGCCCCGAACACCAATACCAACTCTGAATGTAATCTCCTTGCTAAAATCCTTCAATTTATGCTTAAAGCCCACAAAGCCCATGAGAACTTTTAGGAGATACTTGCATCCACAACTTCCCATCCACCTAGACAGATGATCATATCTCCCACACCATTGAGCCTCCATTATCCTCCAGGCTCCTCAAGAAATCAGCATTAAAAACTTTATCGGAAAAGATGCTTTAAATGCAAATCTGAGTTTCTACTGAACTTTTCAAGTCTTAAATAATAAAGTTTTTACATAGCCGGAAAAATACTAAAACAAATCACCAATTAGTCACAAAAACAACAATAGGACATCAAGAAAGCACAATAGGACATCATGAAAACCTGGTGATGGATTGGTGCCCCGCCATATGCAACAACCACCTTGACACCTGTTTGATAGGCGAACTTCTTAGCTTCCTGGTGTATCTGCACAAATAACACCCAAAGAAAGAAAGAGAGAAAGAAATTTAGTAAATAAAAAACATAAAACTTATTCAAAAACAGTATTTATAGAGAACACTTAATAAGCCCAAATTCAAGGTTCATCTCTTCTACAAAAATTGACTCAGAAGAAGAAAAGGACGTAACCTGACATGAAAGCTCTCTTGTGGGCGAAAGGATAAGAGCTGAAGGATACACCATTCTTGCTCCCCGTGGCCTCTGGGACGGGGTTGATCGCAAAATCCCGCTAATTATAGGGAAACAAAAGGCTGCTGTTTTACCCGAACCAGTCTGAGCACATGCCATGAGATCTCTACCTGCCAAACAGATTGGGATCGCATGTCTTTGAACTGGTGTGGGTTTCACATAATTGCACCTCCTAATGTTTTGGTTAAGAGCCTCAACCAAATCTATCTCTGCAAAAGTATTCACGGGAGGAGGAACATTCTCTCCTGTTGTTTCAACTGGTATATCTTCGTAGGCATCAAAATTAATACCTGTGTTTTCGTTATCAACACTCTCCTTCTCAAATGGGTTCGGCTCTCTTTCTCTACCTCTAGTCTCTTTCTCGAATGGGTAAGGCTCTCTCTCTCTACCCCGATGATCCCAGCTCCCTTGCCTGTTACTATTATTGCTCCATCCGTTGATGCGATTGTTGCGAACATTGTCCACAATACCGTAATTACCATAGTTAGGGCTTATGTTCGCCATGTCCCAGCCCGGCCAATTATCAAAAGGGGAAGCAGAACCTACAACTTTTGCAGGTACATTAGCAGAAGAAGCACCATGAGGGTTGGCATTAGGGCTAGTATAAGGGGCTGCTTCAGCAGAGAGGGGCTTGTTTCGAAGATGAGGAGGCACATAAGAATCCCTAGAACCACGATTAGGTTTTTTACCAGTCAAGTCTTCATTCGCTACAGCATCAGCCCATGATGCAGCCATGTCGAAAATTCTTCCAATCCAAGAAAACTGTTTGCTCCGAAAACCCCTAAAGCTCTAACCTAATAGACTGCTTTGCTTGTCTTTGCCGCTTTAATGAAGCCCTAAATTTGTCCTACCAGCTAAGAATAGAAAAGAGAAGAAACCTTTACAGTAAAACACTCTGGCGTATTCAAACCCTAATGCATGTTTCTCTCTTTCCTCCAATGCCTTTTCCCACTGCCCTAATGGCCAACATGTACACAAGCAAATGCTGCAAAAACAGAAAGAAAGAGAAAACCCTAACCCTAACCCTAACTCAAGCTCTGATGGATCATCAGATCAATTTTAACTATTACAGAGCAGAGAAATCACGACATAATCAATCAAACTGAGTATTTAAACAAACCTGAAACAATTTCTTGTAACCGCACTCCGCTCATGAGAGAAGAAACAGAGAATATTTTTGCTTTGTTTTTCTTCTGCCTGTTTTTTATAACAGAAAATAGGGCTAGGCGGGAAGTTGCGCGTTATTTATATTTATTTACTATTACTTGTAATTTTATATTATCAGAAATGGAAAATGACACGTTTAATCCCAACTTTTTCTTTAATTTCGAGATAATCCTGAAACCTAAATCCGCGTACTATTTTGAGAACTTACGTACGAATACAGTAGTCAATTATCAAATGGGTATTCATTTATTCGAAATTACAAGCACTTTTCTGTCTTTATCATTATTTTAGATGCTCTATCTGACAATAAAAATACCGGATATGTCCTGAAACTTAGCCCTGAAGAAAAATATAATTTTTATAAGGCCTAAGTTTTATGAAAACAAAGTATGAAAAGAAACTTTATTAAGATAGCATAAATAAGAACATAAAAAAAAATAAAAATAAAAAATAAGATGATCAATGATAATTGAAAAAAATAAGACGGTGAAGATGGTCGATAAAATGCCTTTAACATTTTAATGATATTTTGGTCATTTAATTTTTTTATTTATTCTTAGTATATTTTAATAGGTGCTTGTGGGTGAAAAACATTGTTAAGTAAAATTTTATTTCAATATGAGAAAGGAAAAAAAAAGAAGTAAAATTGAACTACTTGAACATGCTCTTAAATCTGGAATACTCCCAACTTGGAGACTTATAATTTATCAAACACAGTTTTCATAGCATGTTTAATTCCAGAGAATCTATCAAATGCAATATTTTACATATCCAAATACAATTTTAAAACTTCCCAATTTTCACGCTTTCAATCACCCTAAAACCCAGTGAATCATTTATTTCTTTCACATGACGGGGCATCGAAAAGAGAGAAAACAAAGTGAACGATAAGAATTTAGGTGTCATTAGATGTGAAATTGGATGGTTTAGATAAAGGAAAAAGTTTATATAAAGATGCAACCTTATAATGTAGAACTATGGATGCACCTCAAAAATCCATCGAAAAAGGTAATTTTAATTTTGAAAAACCTTTTGATTGATCATCTTGACATCGACATATATGATCATGAAAAATAAAAAGATTTTAAGTCTAAGAAATAATGCATTT